AGGCACATTAAGGTACGCTGAACTTACCCACCTGGACATAAAACCAGATGACTGAGATAGATTAAAAATATGATGCACGCTACTCTGTTTCCCAGGTGAACCGACCCATTGGGAAGGTGCAGATAATCACTGCTGACCTGTCGGAAATCCCTCGATGTAACTGCAAGGCATCTGATGAGAACCCCTGCAGCATGGACTCGGAGTGCATAAACCGCATGCTGATGTATGAGTGCCACCCTCAGGTGTGTGCAGCCGGGGAGCGATGTCAGAACCAGACCTTTACGAAGCGACTGTATACATCTGTGGAGATTTACAGGACACTATCGTGTGGATGGGGTTTACGCGCCATCTCTGACATCAAGAAGGTAAATTGGCAAAAGCACAGGATGAAAGATTTTTAGAGCTCACGCTTTGCTTATTTCTCATGTTTGACTTTTTTTTTTTTTTTTTTACCGTTAGGGTGCTTTTGTGAGTGAGTACGTGGGAGAGGTGATCGATGAGGAAGAATGTCGCGCCAGAATCAGACGTGCTCAGGAGAACGACATCTGTAACTTCTACATGCTGACCCTGGACAAGGTAATTCTGGGACCAATATCCTTCAACACCCTGGATGGGACAGATCGAACACACTGAAGAAGATCACAGAACTAAACGTTTTGTTAATTTAGGATCGGATCATCGATGCTGGACCCAAAGGGAACCAGGCACGCTTCATGAACCATAGCTGCCAGCCAAACTGTGAGACTCAGAAGTGGACTGTGAACGGGGACACCAGGGTTGGGCTGTTCGCTCTGCAGGACATCCCAAAAGGTTTCAGTGATGGAGTGGATTTTATTTGCCTCAGTCATCCTTTTTTGTAACTTCTGTTGCGGTTAGGCTTGTAACATATTCTAGCCCAACGATTGAGCTACAATATATTATACTAGCGAGCCATGCACAGCATTCTTTTAAACGCCTTCAGTGAAAGAAAGCAGCTGAAAGCCTCACTCTCCTACACATATCCAGACCGTGTTTTACTCAACGCTTTAGCTGCACTACAGTAGCTATCAAAACGGTATTTTAAGAGCAGCATATGGTTCAAACTCAGTACGTTTTCTTACAATAACATGCTCTTTTGCTCTAAATTAGAGGTGTCAAATTCCAGCCCTCAAGGACCGTTGTCCTGATGTGTCCCTGGCCTAACATACCTGAATCAAATGAATGAATTGGCTCCTCAGCATAGAGTCAAGTTCTACAGAGTCCTGCTAATTACCTAATTATTTGATTTAGGTGTTGAAGCAGAGACGCCGGCCCCCGAGTACTGGAGTTTGTCATCTGCTCTCTATGTAGTAACTTTACGCTAGTGCTACAGGTGGTGGTTGGAATCAGTTGAAACATGATCAGACAACAGCTGTAGTCAAATCCTGTCTGACATTTGTGTCAGTCACACACACACAAAAAAAACACATCGCAATGGAAGCTAATTATCATAGTTTAACATGTAGGTGAGAAGTTTGGAGACAGCTTAAATCGATTTATTTAATTTAGGTATAGCTCCCAAACAACTTACACAGTTGCCTCAGTGGTCTGGCTGCCGACTCACTGCTACATCTTTCTGTCATAGCCGTGGAACTGTGCTGTGTTCTCATCCCTCTAGCTATGAGTGATTCCTTCCCTTAAGGTTAAGATTATCAAAAGGGGTTAAGACCTTTCTACTGTCACAAAACTCCTCCACTTTTCCCCTATTGAGGATTTTTTGGGATAGTAGGAGTGCTCACTTGGTCCTTTTTACTGTGTTTTTCCAACTTTTCTGGCTCTAAAATTTGTACTTTGCTCTTCATTCACTCTTTATTCATGTGTAGAGATTAAAATAACACCTTTATTCTACAATTTAAGCATACTTGTGACTTTGACTTCAGGGGTGGAGCTGACCTTCAACTACAACCTGGAGTGTCGTGGTAACGGGAAGACTGCTTGTAAATGTGGAGCTCCCAACTGTAGTGGTTTCCTGGGGGTACGACCAAAGGTAAAACTGGAAATGTCTGCCCCATCTCTGAGCATAGCCTTCATCAAAACTAACACTTCGCTTCTTGATTCCTGTCTTGTAATTGCCCCATTTGTCGTCCTTATTTAGAACCAGCCACCAGCTGACAAAGTTAAACTGAAGGAAGGAAAAAGAAGGGTCTCCATGAAGAAGAAGACCAAGCAACAAGTGACGAAGGAGAGGGAAGACGAATGCTTCAGCTGCGGTGATGGGGGCCAGATAGTGTCCTGTAAAAAGCCAGGATGTCCCAAAGTCTATCACGCTGACTGCCTCAACTTAGCCAAGAGGCCTGCAGGTAAGTAGATGTACAGACTTATAACTATTTCAGCCTAAATCATAAAAAAAAAAAAAAAAAAGCAGTCAGAGACTAAACCTCACGGGGAGTGACAAGGAGATGGTGGTGGTAAAAAAATAAAGGAGTCAGAAAAATGTGGGTTTGAGATCAATATCGTCACCACAATTTTAAATGTGCTGCCATTGTGCCATCCTCTTTCCATTGTCAGACAGTGGATGAACATTGCTCCATGAGATACTTGGGGTATTAATTTATAACCTAACCCTGCTTTGAACCATTCAACGTCATTCCTGACCTGTGTGCTGTGTTCCTGGGTCATTTTGATGCTGTTTGTTCTCTAACAAACTGTCGAGGCCTTCACAGAACCGCTGGATTTATACTGATATCAAAGTGCACGCCGCTGGCATTTGACGGCAGCTGGTTGCAACGAGTTTAACTTGGAGGTTTCTGAGTAGAGTGGTCTGAGACCACCCCACATTTCAGTTTCTTAGCTGTAAAGAAAGTAAAATTTTTGGAAAACAATGTATCGTTTTCCTTTCACTTCACAGTTATGCAGTATGTTGTGTTGGTCCATAACCTAAGATCCCAATACAATTCATTGAAGCTTGTAGTTGTACCGTGAGACAATGTAGAAAAGTTGAATACTTACAAAATAAAAATAAAAAAAAACAATGTGTCTTTGACACTAAATGTTTGAGGACTTTTCTTGACCTCATCATGGCAGTAGTAATAAATAATCATAAATTATTATGTAGTAATAAATTATCTTGTCTCCAGGCCGATGGGAGTGTCCTTGGCACCAGTGTGACGTTTGTGGTAAGGAGGCAGCTTCGTTCTGTGAGATGTGCCCCAACTCGTACTGTAAGGAGCATCGGGAAGGCATGCTCTTCATCTCCAAGCTGGACGGAAAGTTGTCCTGCAGTGAACACGATCCGTGTGGACCCGACCCGCTGGAGCCGGGGGAGATACGGGAATACATGCCCAACATGGCCTCCATGAGGCCCGGGAGCATTGCTGTGCCCGTCCCTCCCTCTGTGCTTCCAGCCATTAAAGGAGCAACTCCTTCTTCATCATCTCCTGCTGCCTCTCTCTCCCTCTCTCCCACCCAGGCTGCTCCATCCAGTCGAGAGCCTCCTCCTCGTCTCTACATCAATACAAAAACTGCTACCTCCAGCTTCGTCCCCTCCAACAGGTCCTACCTCGCCAACAGAACTGAACAGAAAACTATCACCACTCGCAGCTCCGCCAGGGTTGAAGGTGAGGACGGAGAGGTGGAGGACGGTGAGGTGTATGGGTTAGATATGGAGGAGGACGACGACGATGAGGACGAAGATGATGAGGAGAATGAGACTGAGGAAATGGAGATTGTTGAAGATGAGGAGGAGGAGCCGCTGTATGGAAGCGACGTGCTAGAAGACGACAACGATGAGGAGGATGAGGAAGAAGACACATATGGGACTTGGGGCGATTATGTGGATGATGATGCTGATGAGGGAGAGGTGGAGGAATGAGGCAGGCTGGAGGATAAGTGACTCCCTCCGCACACTGACAGAACTAAAGGAGTAAATATTTTGGTACCTACTTGAATGCAGCACTGCCTTCGCTGTGGTACAACATTGCCTTCTCATCTCCAGAATGACAGCGGGGATGTGTGCTGGTGCTAAGGCTGAACTGTTGTCTCACTCGGTCTCTTTACATTTCTGTCCATACGTTCATTTGTGTTTGGTGCTCTCTTGATATGTTCTGTCTTTTCACACTGTTTACATAGTTCCACCTTTTTTAAAATGTTTGTAATATAAGAAATGAGTAAGACGTTTGACCAAACTGTCGTCATGAGCGCGTCTTGTCTTGTTCCTGTCTCAACATCCTCTTTCTGTTTCCAGGTGTCGTTTAATCCTTGTTACAGTTAGGCAAAAAGAGTACCTTCTCAGTGTTTGTGAGGAGAAAAAAAATAAACCCACTGGAGTTTTTCATTTCAGATAAACATTCTGGTTTTCTCTTTATAATAGTAGTTTTTAAAAGTCTGAACAAATGAGGAATATAGATCATGAATGGATGGAAAGTTACTCGACGCTTATGGCATGTTGACTCACCAAGCAGGCCTCCCTTGTCTCAGTTAAGGTTGTTGTTCATGATTCAGTAATAAGAAAGAGGCAAAATAGCTAAAATGGGCTCCATGGCAGAGTTCCAAGGTCAAAAACACCGCTGACCAAAAAGAAGACGAGGCTTGTTTCACATTTGCCTAAAAATATCTTGATCATCTCCAAACGTATTGGGAAAAGTTCACCTCTGGAAGGTGCTCAGAACCACTCCTGCAGGTGTTTGTAACTGCTCAGGTTATTTTTGTCTGATATTAACTGTAACTCTTGGTATAATTATAACATGAAATGGATGAATTGCATTTCTGAATACATTGTCAAACCTCAAGGGAGGACACTCCATTTGGACGACAGTTTTATAAACAGTTTTTCATTTTTGTTAAAGGCAAGTTTAACAATAGGATGGCTACGCTGAAGAGCAAAGGAAACGAGGATGTTTTTCATAAGCCCTGTCAGAAATACTGTATATATATTTAATGCAGTCTCAGACTTACAATTTTACACTTTTTAAGATTTTTATGGCATTAGTGGCCTTTATTCATTAGTAGATGGGCAGAAAGAAAAGGGGATAACATGCAGCAAATGGCCCAAGTCTGGAATCGAACCGGGGACAATGGGTAGAAGACTCAAGCCTCCCCATATATTGCACCTGCTCTTCCACTGAGCCATACGGCTCCCCAAATTTAACACATTTCTACCAAAAGAGTTCATCGATTCTGCCCTTTACATCATTATGAAATGGAACTTTGATTCAAACAATATTTTCTCCTGAAGGTCTGTATGACATGATGGAACAGCATATTTCCCTGTAGATGGAGAATTGATCACACCACCTCATACTACAACTATTACTTTGGGAAAATGTGCTTAAGTTGATTTTTTTTTTTTGTCTTTTTTTATCATTAAAGTATAAAATCAGCAATAAATTCACAGTAGCCTGTTGTAGTGTCATTAAATTCACAGCACACATAGAGCACCTTATCCTGATCATACTACAACTCTTAATTTGGGGAAATACTGGTGCCACAGATATTACAAATATTCTCCACGTAACAATATGGGTTTTTATAGGTATTATCCACAAAGTCACTGTTAGAAGTTGTAGGGTGACATGAAAAGCATCACGCCTACTCCATATCACGTTGTTTACACTGTTTTGTTAGTTCTCTAACCTATTTGATAACATGTCCTGGTATTGAGTTATTACCTCATGACTGCCTCACGGCCACTGTCTTGCAAACCGGTACAAAAAGGACAATCAGATGCATTGTGTAATTAAGTTCCAGCCAATCATGATCAGCCATCAATTAAGGTCAGTACAGCAATAATCTTTTAGAGATCAGTGTTAAAAAGACGCTTATGAGTAGATTATCAGTAGCTTTGCTTTTTATTAATTGGAAATATGAACAAATTTTCAATGGTAACAACTGATTTTTTCTATTTCTTGTTTATTTTTTTTGGGTGTGCTCTGTGTGCTGTGAATTTAATGGCACTACAACATGCTACGGTGAAGTTATTATTTTAATGATAAAATATCATTAAAATAAAAGCCATTAATCCTAAGGAACATACAATTGTAGCTCACTGTCTGCCTTGCTGTGGTTGCAGAGAGGTGTCGGTTTTGTAGAAGCAATGTTTGTGTACAGTTCAGACCATGTTTTATTTATGTTTTTATCCATGGCTGAGGGCACAACGGCATCGAGATCCAGGGCCGCCTGATGAGGTTCTCCACCGAGGCCCACATTATTCTGAGATTTGGACTCAAGTTACAACAAGAAACTTATTTAGCACAGATCTCCTTGTTTGTAGCTTATTCTACCCACAACTTTATAGACGTCCTGTGTTAACTTCCTTTGTTTTCAGTGAGCTCTGAATAAAACTTAGAGATTAAAGCTTATTTGTACAATAAGCCAAGTGTAAACATCTTTGAGGCTTCCTAAAGGGTGTGTGTTTTGCAAACTTCAGTGACCTGACACACTGCTTATTTCATTCAGAAATGATTAAAAATCAAAACAATACACAATTAGCTGTAGATCTGTAGTTTTTCAGTTTTAACCATAACACAACTGATTCAAAATATCAATTAAATCACCTGGTTGAACAGTTCCTAATTTCTCTCTCTCTGTGTGTGGAGTGTGTGTGTGTTTTCTTTCTCAGGTTTTAGCCTCTTTAGTCAGGTTTATCGATGAAACATAACTCAACACTAACATCTGAACAAAGAGGATCGGCTCTGAGGTGGTCAGACTGCTTCTACATAAGAATGACAGAAATGTTTCCTTAATGTGTTTTGCTACAACATCCAAGAAAAGTCATGAATAGAGGAGATGAACTCACCATTACAGTCAGCTCTGAGTTCTGCTGCTCTGAAAAGGTATTTGTCCCTTTCCAGATTTATTTAGTTTTTATGTTTATGCCACATTTAAATATTTAAGGTCTTCAAAATCTGGGAGTTTATTCCAGATCTTCACTAATCTGGAATAAACTCCCAGAAAACTGTAAAAGTGCTGAAACCCTAAGATGCTTTAAGTCAAGATTCAAACGTATTTGTTTAGAGTGGCCTTTGACTGTGCTGTCTTAACATTATTAAGTTTTCAGTCCAACTTTCATTTTTTTAATCAATCATTTTATCATTAATCTTTCATTTTTTAAATCTTTTTTATTATCAACTTATCATTTTTATTATTAATTTTGATGACGGAAAGTGGCAGCACCCCCTCAACATCTGTGGTTAGAGGCTCTACGGGGCCCAGCAGGCCTGAGCCTTATCAGTTCAAGCTGCTGGCTCAAGGCGCTGGCTCGGTAATCAGTTTTGGTTTTAGAAAATCATGTAAAGTTGGACTTTCTGTTGTACTTTATATTACCATCCTCCTGTATAACTTACATGTGCTTCAGCTTAAGGTCTAACTAATGGCTTTTCTGGTAGAGAGCAGAATTCATGGTTCCATCACTCACTGCAAGTTGTCCAGGTCCTGAAGCAGCAAAACAGCCCCAAACCATTACTCTACCACCACCATCTATGACTGGCAGTATGATGTTCTTTTTCTAAAGTGATGTGTTAGCGTTAAGACAGATATAATACTACCCACACCTTACAATAAGTTCAGTCCAGATTAATTATGCAGATGCAATATCCACATTAAAGATATTTATAAAGAGAAATAGAAAAGATTTCTGTTTTACCAAACTTTGATAGGCAGGCAGAGGGCAAAACAAATTCACTAAAAAACAGTTGGTGCGAGTAGAAATTCTGAGAAAACAGAAGCAACCACAGATCAGAGACACGCATCTACAAAACAAGAGAATCCTGCAGAAACGTACATGGGGAAAGCAGCAAAGAAAAACACCACCATACTAAATATGTGTGAATGGAGAACTGACAGCTAAGTTATATCTATACCAGCAAACTGTGAGGAGGCCCAGAGTCACCATTACCATGTATTGGAAAATATCATATAATTTAGAAGAAAAACATTACAGAGGATGAATGTATGATTTATCACTTGGTAAATTAATATAACCCAACTGTTGATAACATGTTATGTGCATACAAAAGTGTTGGCAAAGCAGTAATGTATTAAAATGGATGAAGGTTAATTACTTGTTTTAGGTGGGACCTCTGGCATCAGTGGAGCAATAAGGAAAGATCTGCCCTGTGAAGCTATGCTTCCAGTAAAACAAAAAGGAAACACATTTAGTTGGTTTACCTTGGAGTTGATAAATGCACACATTACAGGAGAAAGGGTGTGTCTCTGTGGAGTAAGTCAGTCCAATTCAATTCAAACCCATTTATTTATTTAGCATCTGTTCAAGGAAAACAGATCAAACAGAAATATTTAGTCAACTTAATCCAATTTTACAGCTTCAAAATTCAATGACATAAAATGTATTTGAATTTTATCCTTGTTATACATTGCAGTCAATTTTAGTTTATTACGCCAATTAGAGAAATAATTCAGTCTGAGGAAACCCAGCTGATTGCACTGAGTTATTAACTTTACAGCAATCCCATACTGAGAATGCATGTGACAACAGTGGAACAGAACAACTCCCTTTTAACAGGAAGAAACCTCCAGCAGAACCTGGCTCAGTGTGAAGAATCATCTGTCACCACAGACTGGGTTATTGAGAAGACCGACCAGACACACAAAATCATGGATGCACTAGTGAAGTTCTTCAGATCAGGGTGTGGGCTGTTTAATATTAACACAAAGCTGCTTTTCCAGAAATCATTTTCTGTGCACATTCCCTTAAATATTGTGTTTTAATACAAGAATGTATCATAATTTATGAGCAGAATCTCCGGCCGGCAAGCAAGACATATGGTAATATGTTTTTGTAATAAATAACAAAATTTATATAATATATATATATATATATATATATATATATATATATATATATATATATATATTATATATATAACACTGA